TTCTGCTAGCTCTGAATAGACCTTAGGAATTTATAAACCTTATTTATCAAACATATTTTATTCATCAAACATACATTGTTCCTTATCTAAAATTTTCTAGAAGCCTGGTGTTGACCACAGTTAGCAAAGACATGTGTTTAGATATACATCTTTAAGTCAGTAAAGTCTGTAACCTTAGAAATTTACAAACTTTAGCCAGACATTTGTTTAAGTTCTATTTTCCATAAACAGAATTGAATGCAAGTTACATATACAGATACTGTAGCAAATTAAGATTACCCGTGTGTAGATTTAAAAAAAAAAAAACTATTAACATTTTTGTTACAAGATTTAAGATGACTTTTTTGTTAGATTTTACAGATTTTTTTTACTCCACACCCAATTTACAAATCTTGATATAAAGAGAATTTACACAATAATCTTACAAATCTTGAGATAAGGTTTATACTTTAGCAAAAGTTTTAGAAAGGGGAGTATTTAGAGAATTAGACAGAACCAGGAAAGGGAGTGTGGGACAAGCAGCTGTGATTCCTATTGGGAACAGTTTACTTTTGACTGTTTTAAGTACATACTGTCTTTTCCTGTGATGTTACCTTTTGTTCTCCTCCCTGCCAAAGAGTCAGGTGACCCACCTGATGCAGGACAGAGACTTTGGAAGAAACTTTGAAACAAGCATGCTTGGGTCTGGAGAGGGAAGGCCATAACCCAACTTTTTTATAGAACAACATAAAATGAAATTTCAATATTATCTACATTTGAATCTCTGTAGAACTGAGTTTAACAATCAGAGGGAGAGATGAGCAAGCAGAGCAAGGAGGCTTAGAGATAAGAGATTTTTCAGAGTGGAGAGCAGATAAAATTTAGAGATAAGAGACTTTGGGATCATTTGCGTAGAAGTTGTTACAGTCTGTGAGAATTTGGAAATCTAGTGTGCCGTCTCTGACCACTGGGCTGTACTGAAGCCAAGCCATTTACAGTAAAACAGTGAGACTTAATGGAACCTCTGAGTCCAAAGAGGAAAAGAGATTAGAGAAGACAGGTGAGTATTATGAATGGGAAGAGTCCATGGTTAGAGACAGGAGCCAGCTGAGAATGGAGCAAAACTTCCTTTAGAAAAAGAGTGAAGAACTGGGCATGGTGGCACACGCCTTTAATCCCAGCACTCGGGAGGCAGAGCCAGGCGGATCTCTGAGTTTGAGGCCAGCCTAGTCTACAAAATGAGATCCAGGACAGGCATCAAAACTACACAGAGAAACCTTGTCTCGAGGAAAAACAAAAAAAGTGAAGAGGAGGTGGGAGAGGTTTAGGGAAAAGGGTCACAAACAGGAACTCTGCCAGAGGGAGGAATCCAACATCTTAGAGACCCAGGAGGGCGTAGAGAAGGTACCTGATGTACCTGGGGGACTTAAACAGCAGACTCCAGCGAGCCATTTAGGGAGACAGAGACAGTACAGGCAGAGAAAGTTCCAGGAGGGAACTGAGAGACGGGGCTATCGAGGAAGCAGCCAAGAGCAGAGTGAGCTCCAGGAGTGAGCTGAGAACGTGGAGAGGAAGATCAAGGATAGGAGAGAGAAGAGTGTCCTGGTGACAAGAATTCCAATCTGCGATGTCCCCAAGCAGACCAAGAGACTTGTCAGAGAGAAACGTCTCAAATCACAAAGGAGGGGCCTCCCTTTCCATGTGGTGGGCACTGCCTGGTGCACCGGAGCAACTTCTGCAGCAGTGGTCGTTTCCAGAAGCCAACAGAGCCAGAGCAGGCGACTCCAAGGGGACACTCGAGTACCAGGAAAGAGAAGATGGACAGAAGCAGCAGCTGAGGAGGCAGACTCTAATATTTGGAGTTGAATATGGTGGGTGTCAGAAGGCAGCCGAAGCGAACGATCCATACCTTGGGAGAGCTACATCAGCTGCTTGGTTCGGTTAGGAGAGGCTGAGTTCCCCATCCCTACCCCCAGCCCTGTGCTGTCACCCTGGCCGGCCCTCAGCAAGAATTCTGCAGGCCAAGGTCTCAGCCCGCTTTCTCTTGCTGTAACTGTACGCTGCAGATGGAAGAGCTGATGAAGAATGAATTTAGTTTACATGTCTAGCGCATGGTGCCAGCATCTCCCTGGCCCCTGGCAAGGATCTTCCTGCTGGGTGGCTCAGTGGAGGACACAGTGAGAGGCAGCAAGCTTTCCTTCATTACAAAGCCATTCCCTGTAACCCACAAATCCCCTAATCCATTAATTCACAGATGGATTAATCCATTTGAGAGGGCAGAGCCCTAATCAGTCCAACCTGGTCACACCTCATTGTGTGGATTAATCTGCATGAGTTTGAGCTGTGAAATTCAAACCCTAGCAGTTGGTTTAGCCAGAGTCTCCCTTATGCTTTTCGGGTTTGTGTGTGTACATGTTTGTGTACATACATGAGTCTATGGGTGCAGGTGGAGACTAGAATTTGCATTCGGGTTACAGGCACCTGCTGCTGTTCCCAGCTTCTTATATGTGTGCTGGGGTCCTCATGCTTATGGGACAGGTTGACGAATCCCATCTCCCCAGTCCCATTCCTTCCCTTACGCCAGATGTTGCCTTTTTCTTTTAATTTTTGAGAGAGTCTCATCTGTCCCAGGCTAACCTTGAACTCTGTAGCCAAGGACTTTGAATTTCTGACCTACCTGCCTCTGGCCCCTGAGTACAGAGGTTATAGGTGTGTACTGCCATGCCTATTTTATTTGTGCTGGAGATCTAACTCAGGGCTTCGTGTGTGCCAGGCAAGCAAGTGCTCTACCAACCGAGCCTCAGCCTCTTGGTGTCTCTCAACTTTTCATCTGCCAAGCCTCTACCACCTGCTCCTTGGCCGTAAACCCCATACTGATCTTACCATATTCAGAACAGAGTTATCTTCTGCACCTAAGCTTTTATTCTTTCCATCTACTACAATGGTCCTGAGTAACTCTGGTCTCACAGGCTGCGACTCTGGCCAGCTCTGGCTTTCCTCTGGCTATGTCTAAGAAAAAGGGCTTCCAGCTGCACAGACTTTCCACATTCAAATATCTCAAGTCCACAGGGCCTGCCAGAGGGGAGCAGCAGCCTGTGCCCATCTCCCCCTCCTTGCCCTAGGGAAGAGGTGGGGGTCCCCAGGGCCTATCCCGAGGCCTGGGGAGTGCCTTGCATCTCTTGTAGATCCTGGCGTGGACATCAGGTGTGGTTTGTAGCTCCTTGTGTGCCTGTAGCTGTCCTGCCATGGACTAAGGCCTTCTGTCCCTGCAGGCTTGGGGGTGGGGTGCCTCCTGTATGGTCTAGGATGTAGAACTCCTGTGAGGTGGGTGGCGTCCTTGGACCAAATGTTGAAAAAACTCTGGAGTGCCAAGGAGCCAACAGCCTGCAGTTGGAAGGCCACATCAGGCTGCTAGACCTGGGGTCAGGAACTCTGCTCTGGGCCTCAGTTTCCCTCAGGGGACCAAGTGAGGTCGGGTGCAGGAGAAGATGTAAAGGTGGAATGCTGGCCTTCCTGATGGTGAATCTGGCCAGGGATGCCTAAAAATGGATGGTACGGAGCCTCGGTCTCACCCCAGTGCTATAACAGTGATGGATGTGGAATAATTTGGGTTAAGCTATATCCCAGAGGCCCTTCAGAACGGTCCCAATGTGGTCCTCGCGGGCCTTCTGCAGGTTGTAACTACTGGCTGTAGCCCACACTTGCCCAAGCACACATGTAGGTCAAGTGCACACTCTCCACTGCCCTGGAACAAGGTCTGTCCATGCTGTCTGTTTCTCTGCCTGCACAGACTGGTGCTGAGGGCAGCTGCCAACCTGTGCTCCATCTGCCTGGCCTGGGGAAATCTGAGCAAACCTCACTTTCTGCAGTGTTTAGCAAGGGTCCAAGAATTCGCAGTTCCCAGTGACCTTGCAAGTCAATCTCCAGATGCCTTTTGAACCTCCCATCTCCTAGAGGAGAGGCTGCACCCCTGGGGAGAACTGAGGCAGAGATGGAGGGCTCAGGGACCCAGGGATTCCTGGGCTGTCCCGGGGCCCTCATTCCCGGTCTGGGTCCTGGTCTGGTTCCAATGTCTCAAGTTACAGCTCTAAAATGTGCTGCACTCGCACACCAGCAGAGACAGGTAAAATCTGGTGCCTGCAGCCACTGCTGGTTGTGAGGGTCTGCTTCTCTCACCCCCACAGACCTCCATTTCCTAGCTGGGCCTGGGCTTGGGGGCTTCCTGTGGTGAGCACCGAGCTGGAAGAGCCATGCCTACCTACAACAGAAGGGAAACAAGTGAGGAGGTGGAAAGATTTGCCTGAGGCTGCGCATTTTATAATTAGGAAAACTGAGGCGCAGACTAAATGACTTCCCTAACTACGTTGCAATGCCAGGCACTTGTCCCCTTTTGTAAATAGGGGACTTGATAAAAAGATGTCCAACCAAGCTTCCTGTTAAGTCTCAATTCCTGGGTGCCAGTGAACGCCCACCGGCCTTTTTTGCCAGGCCTGACCTGCTACGTGACTCGGGGTAATTCACGTCTCTTTTAAGACTCAGTTTCTTCATCCGGGAGATGGAGGTGGGGCGGCCAGGGTGCAGCAAAGGAAAACTGAGCCGAGAAGCACACACCTACTTACTAACCTCTGAGGACAGCAGGCACCCGGCCCAGAGGAAGGGCGGGGTCTAAACTAAGGGGCGCAGACCCCAGGAACTATTGGAGAGGCTGTGCGTGGGGCGGGGCTTGAGTTCTCTGGTCCGTACTGGGACCCCGGCAGTACTGGGCTCCTCCGCTGGGTCGCTTAAGCTGGAGAGGGCGGGACTCCGGTCACCGCTACAGCCTAAACTCCTCAGGGGCGGGGCTCACTGGGGCGCCTAGTTTAGAGCTCCCGGGGAAGCCTGAGTTTAGGATGACAGAGGGCGGGTTTCGGTGAGGGGCGTGGCTGGTAGTAGTGGGTGGTGTTTAGAGCCCCAGCCCCGCCCACTGCTGACGCACCCCAGAGCTCCGTACGGGAAGGGGGCGTGGCTAGTTGGAGGGATGGGCTTGGGGCTGGAGACGCTGTCGCCGTCGCTGGGCGGGGCCTAGAGGGAAGAGGCGGGGCTTAGGGCCCGGCCTGCGGCGGCGGTCACCGGAGCCGTCGGGCCGGGCGGCGGACAGCCGAGGACCGCGGGGCGGCGCCGTGTCCTCCGCCATGACAGGTGGGCGCGGGGCCAGGCGGGCGACGGGAGCCGAGTGACCTTGGCGTTAGCTGGCGCCGATGACGCGGGCGTAGCGGCGCGCGGTGGCGGGGTGTCCCGGGCTCTGCGCGGCGGGCCGGGGGGCGCTGGGGGTCTCGGGTGCAGAGTGGGGGGCCGTCGTGGACTGAGGAGACAGAACAGCAGGTGAGCGCCCACGCGGTGCACCGCACAGGCTGCACCTGCGGAGCGGGGCGGTGTCCCGGGGCGGGATGGATCTGAGAGAGGGAAATGGTGCTCACCGCCACTCTAGAGCGGCGATTGCACTCACCCCCCACGGGGGCGGGACCAGCGCTGCGCTCCTGGGCAGCCTGTGGTACCAGTGAGGCGCCCGTGCTTCCCGCTTGCTCCGGGGGGCCTGCGAGACTCCAGCGACGTTCCCTTACTAGATGAGTCTAGGGAATTCGGAGCCAGCAACTGGATTCCTGTTCTCTAGGCTCGGTAGCCCCAGCCCAACCCTTTGCTCTGGGGACTCGCCCACTTCATTTCTGATCCCAGCCGGACACAGTGACATTGCTGTGCTGAGTTTTCCCTGTTGAAAGAATGCCATAGGATGAGTCAGCGAGGGACCCCCTCTGGCAGAGAGCCCGGGGAATGTGGTGGCTCCCAGATGCCGCCCTTGGTTTCTGGGAGTCTCACTCTTTCTTAAGCATCATATGGCAGAGGTCATCTGGGATGGCCCAGGGAAGTCAGGGTAGCCCCAGAAGTACTCAAGGGTTTCTAAACTGGAGTCGGCACTGGTGGTGCACAAAAATAAGACCTTATGAGCTAGAACCTGGGGACTTCCAAAACAGGCTAGAGGAAACCTCAGCTACCACTTTCTCCTTTGTAGTTCCTCCAGGGCCTTCTTGTTTGTGGCTGCAGTTTCTGAGCACTACCTATGTGTAGAGCCCTGCTTAAGTCCCTAATATGCCTGTGTAGGATAAAATCTTGGGTTGGGTAAGTGCCCCCAGACCACTCTGCTGGTCAGTGGTGGGAGCAAAATGGGAGGCGTGGTCTCAGTATTCATGCTGCGCCCTGCCCTGCTGCTGGCTTTCCAGATCCTCTGGTAAGCTCATCAGGATGTGTGGGACAGATCTCAGCTGTGTTGGTCTCCAAGGGCCCATTGCAAAGACAGGATACTCGGGAAGAAATGGGGCATCCCAGCTCCAGGAAAACAGGCAGTGGGGGTGGGGGCAGCAGGTGGGTAGTCGCTTTTAGCTGGGAGGACACAGCCAGCCCCTGACTGTGGCACCAACACACACTCTTTTCTATCTGCCATCTACTTGCTGACTTTTGGACACCTCACCACCCTTCCTTTTTTCTGGTAGGAGATGGAGACAGTAGAAGCCTGACAGGGTTGATGGACAGCCCTGGGGCCTCCATTCTTGGCTCAGTGCCCTAGTGCACAAGCTGGGGGTCTGCCATACAGATTAATCTTTGCTGCCTGTGTGTGTGTGTGTGTGTGTCTATAGAACACTGAGAGTGTCTCTTCACAGAACACTCAGGTACCATGGAGTGATGACAAGAGCTTCTGGGAGAGATTCAGCGGGGAGTTGGTGCCCAAGTTGTACACCCCAGGAGAGTGATTGGTGAATTCTTGCAAGGGGCCTAAATAAGCTGGGCATGAATCAACTCGATTTGCTCAGCCTGTTGCCCGGGTCCTGACTCCATGGTTGTGAGCTGCAGACAGGAAGGCTTTGGGACCCTATGGGCAGAGTAAGGGCAGGTTGGGGCCCACTGCTTCAGGGTCCCAAATGCCAGAATGAGGACTTAGGTCTGGGCTGCAGACGTTCAAGATGCGGGCTCCTGGTACCAGCTGGTAGGGAAGGAAAACACGGGCAGAGGCTCATGGATTCTGCACGGAGGGATTCATCTTTTATCTAGTAGAGGCGTTCCTGGCCTTGTTTACAGGGTATCCAGGCAGAGCCTTGCAAGTCTGCATGATACCCAGTGGCTGCCTGCTTGTGGTTGCATGCATAGCTTACAAGAGCCACAGGAAGCACAGGAAGTGCCTTGCTCTAGAGCTGCTGGCTTCAGCTCCTGGGCTGGGCCACCCATGCCAGGTGACTCAGGGCTCCTGTGACTCATGCTTGTGGGCAGCAGAGGCCCATCTTGCTAGCGGCTCTCAGAGTGGGAGGAGGCCGCTATGAGGCATTGGCCACTGTCTACCAGCAGACCTCGCCTTTGGACCTTGGACTGGAGCCCATTCATTCCAGAACTCTTTAATGAGTGCCTACTGTATGTGCTGCCCTGTACACATTGGCACAATATGGAGACAGACAGCCTTGGCCTGCTCCTGTCTGGAAGAGAGCAGGCCCCTGAATTCACTGTGATCCATGTGTTAATGACAGAACAGGCAGCCGTAGCATGGCTGTGTTACCTCCAGGCTGATGGCAGTCTTGTAACTTCACCATGCCTTCATTTCCCTATCTGAAAGCGGGGCAGCTGCGGAGCTGGTGGGAGGATGGAGGTTGTAGGTAGGTGTAACTAGAACCACGAAATGTCTGGCCTGTGGATTGTTTTGTGCATTGGCTCAGTGTTCATCTGAACTCTTTAATAAGATGCTGCAGGTACTGAAGCCAGCCTCTACCTAATGCACCTGGTAATGTGGCAAGTCACTGGGTATCCCTGGGCTGTTGGTAAGTCTGTCTTCCACGTAGATTGTCAAGGGCTCAGCCAATATGCCCAGTCCCCAGCTGCCATGATTGGGTGGTGCTGATGGCCTCAGACAGGGGTGGAATGGCTGATGAGCCGAAGTATGGGCCTTGGGGGAGCAATGTCTGTCAACCAGGACAAGCCTATCCCTAGTCTCTGAGAGCAGGCTTCCAGGCTGAGGATGTGTTTATGGGGTCCTTGGTGAATGCAGCCCCACTGTTACACTGAACTGGAAGACACCCCAAGTTCCTGGCATAGGGTGGGCATGCTGATAGGCTGTGCCCACCTGGGTAAGGAAGGACTCCCCAAAGCCACCATCAGGGATGAGAGGGTGAAGGAGTCTGTTGTTGGTTGGTCTTTGGTCTTTCTGGGGACCCGCCACCCGGCTCTCAAATAAATCACTCATGGAGGCTTATTCTTAATTAGGAATGCCTGGCCTTAAGCTTAGCTTTTTTCTTGCCAGCTTTCCTTAACTATTTTTTTTTTCCAGAGCTGAGGATTGAACCCAGGGCCTTGTGCTTGCTAGGCAAGCGCTCTACCACTGAGCTAAACCCCCAACCCCTCCTTAACTTAGATTATCCCGTCTATCTTTCGCCTCTGGGCTTTTCCCGTTCTCTTACTTCTGTAATCTTACTCTTATGGTGTAGCTTGCTGTGTAGCTGGGTGGCTGGCCCATGATACCCTCCTCCTCCTCTGGCTCCTAATTCTCCTCTTCTTCCAAATTTCTCCTTCTATATATTCTCTTTGCCTGCCAGCCCTGCCTATTTCTCTCTCCTGCATCGCTATTGGCCATTCAGCTCTTTATTAGACCATCAGGTGTTTTAGACAGGCACAGTATCACAGCTTCACAGAGTTAAATAAGCAAATAAATATAAACAAAAGTAACAAACCTTAAAATAATATTCCCCAACAGGAGTCAGAAGACAGACCAGCCAGGAGGTGTGAGGAAGGTAGCCTGTTGATTCCATACCCAGGGATAAAGCCAGGGACCAAGCCAGGGACCCAGCTCACTTTTCTCAACATGGTGACCCTATTTGATAAAAAGCCAACCTATCTTATAGAGGTCTAATTCAATTGCAAGCAGATACACTTGCTTTTAGATTTATTTTCTGTCTACAAGTATTTTGCATACATGCATGTATGTGCACCGTGTGTGTGCCTGGTGTCAAGAAGGTCAGAAGAAGCCATCGGAACCCTTGGCATTGGAGTTACAGACCATTGAGAGCGACCATATGTTCTCCAAGAGTAACATGCGCCTTAACCTCTAAGCCGTCTCTCCAGCCCCTGCATTTGCTTTTAAAGAACAGTTTGATCCATTCTGACAAATGCCTGCACCTGTGTAAGCACAAACCAGGCAGCATCTAGACATTTCTGTGACTCAGGAAGATCCTTGGGGCTCCTTCTCAAGTAATCTGTTCCTACTCAGGGTTGCTCTGCTTTCCAGAATTCCCCCTCCTGCCCCCAGTTTTTCCATAAACATCAACAATGGAAATTTCCAAATAAGTTTTTTTTAATAGACTTATTTGTTTAATTTATTTTGAGTCCAAGTCTCTCTTTATTGTTCAGGCTGCTGCAGCCTTTCCAGTAGGTAGGACTTCAAGTGTATACTGCCTGGGTGTATACTGCCTGGTGTATACTGCCTGGTGTATACTGCCTGGTGTATACTGCCTAGGTGTTTACTGCCTGGGTGTATACTGCCTGGGTGTATACTGCCTGGTGTATACTGCCTG